GTTGCTCTTTCTAATAAGATGCTCCAGTACATAGATTTATGTTGGGGCCATTTCTCCCACTAAATGTGCTGCCATCTCCTTCTCCTTCACCAGGGCAGGTGATAGCCATCACAATCATCTGCTGCTGGTTGCCTGCCTCCCTTTATACCCACCCTGCTCCTTGTCACTATGGGCTTTGGTTTGCATATAAGCACCCATCTACCTCCTTCCAAGTGAGCAAACTGCAGCAGTAGTGATCAGTTGCTAACCAGAATCAAAAGGAAGGAACGTAAGAGGCTGCTGTTGCTGCTCCCAAATGCCAGCTCTGCCTGCTTACTCAATTGAGGATCAGTGGCAGCAAGGAACAGTGACAGCCAACACCCCATGGACAGTGGCTGGGGAGGAAGAGCCACCATTCAGTACCACAGGCAACTATTTCATTTCATTTATACTCCACCTTTGTTCCCAGATGGGGACCAAAAGCGGCTCACAAAAAAAAAATACAATAATACAAAACAAACTAACAGAAGAGACAGGGGAGGCTTCTAAATGCAGGTTGCAAAGGGGTAGCCATTTTGCACTATCTGACACAAGATTCAGTTGTGAACTGAATCTGATTGTTAATTATATCTTGAGTGGAGCAACTGGTATTGTGCAAGTTAGCAAACAGTATCAAAATATATTTTGCTTTGTTGCCTTTTTTCCTACCATAGGCTGCAGCTGCACAGTTCTTTGATGACTCATTACTAGTGATGAGGTCAGGCTTGGAGAGGTTTAGAGAGAAAGCTGATGTGGTCTGACAGCACTTGTTAGAGTCAAATCCAGCAGGAGTGATCAGGTTTTCAGGCTCCTTTGCAGCTACAGTTCTGTAGCGAACAGCTATGAGGGGTAGTGCTACTGAATAAAATGAAATTTCTGCATTTAAACACCACCAAAAAAAATCACAGTGACTAGTGTGGCCAAACAGGCTCCAAAGGTACTTTGTTCTACCACAGGGAATGTGAAATTTAGGCTGCCCCATGTTCACTGCACTCAAATTGTTTCATCTCTCCAGCTTTACCCAACCCCCTGCAAATACAAATAGGGTTCATTTCTGCTGCCACCAGCTTTAGTAAATAATATTCTTGCCTTTAGTTTAATTGGGGGATTTAGCATCAGAGGCAGAGCTAGTGAGAGGCTGGGGTAAAGCGAGGATTTGCTGTTTATGGACTAGTCCCTTTAAGACCCCTGGCTGAGTCAATAAGCAGTCCAAATTGAAAAGAAAAAATGGGTTTTATTTAGGAAAAATAATAATTTGGATATTTACGCTCAAATCAAGGATTGCAAGCATACAAGGAGATACAAAAAGGAGTTAGCAGACAAATAGAATGGGGGAGATTGTGGTGATAATATACCTATCCTGTAGAGTTGATGAGGTCAAGAGGTTGTAGGGAGGAGTTGCATGGACTCAGCCAGCGAGAAAACAGAAGACCTGAGTTATGATCAGGGGTGTTAGCTTTGTGTGCGCCCAGCCAATCATACCAGGCATGTGCAAGACTGGGTATATTTATACCCAAAATGTATCCTGAGGGTATGCTGAAGTGTGGTGGCTAGGTTCACAATGGATTGATGGGATTCCCATTGTGGAACAATAGCGTGATCTGGCATTTCCCTAATGCCAGACAAAAGGAGGTGATGTTTCTTAATGTGTGGCAGGATGAACCTGAATGGGTGACCATTCATTAGACATGAAGAGTTAATGTTTACCTTGATGGGTCTGGCATAGGTGTAAGAATGCAGATATTTTAGACAAATATCTGAAGACAGGAATGCAAGGATTATTCAGCAGGTATTTCCTGACATACAGGAGTGACAGGATTTGGGGGCAGGAAACATGCAACATACTCCATTCATGACAAAGACATATACCAGTGGCTCTTTGTCTGTGCCTGCCTGTACATTTGACAGAGAAAAGACTGGCCATTTGATCAGAAGGAGATGCCTGAGGCGAGAGCAGAGATTTGTCCAATTCTAATCCTTATGACTGAACTGACAGGAGAGAAGTGGGGGAGGGGATGCTTACATGGAAGATGTGTTTTAAGCCAAAATGAAATTCTCCTAGTCTCCCAGCAAAAGCCACTGTTAGAGCCAAGCCTGGCTTCATGAGGGCACTGCTTTTGGAGGTTCAGAGGTCATTTTGGGGTGTCACTCTCTCAGGAAAGACAACCCTGGATACAGGGCACAAGAGATCTGTTACAACTGGAAGAGTTACATTTGTTCATCTTCGTGTCTTCTGTGCAGTCCCATATCTTCAAGCCTGCCCCAGGGAAGATTCTGACAGTTTATGGAACTTTAAAACTTAGAGCTCCCCCTTCCCTCATCACGAGGAGTGGCTGTGTTTTCCCGCTCAAAGTGTCACGTGATGAGGAGGGGAGCAACTTTCCCTCAGTCGTTTTTCTGCTACTGTGGGAGAAGGACGAGTGACAGCTTCGCTCTCAATTCAGACCTCTGAGGAAAAGAAACAAAATGAAAGGAAAATTGGTGGTGAGGTGTTGTGTCCAGACCCAGCCATGTCTGCGATCCAGTTTTTGCCGGTTCTGCATGCGGTCAGGTGAAGTACCTGAGCTTCGCTCCCAAACACAATAGACGTTCGGATCCTAGTTCCCTGCCAATCGGGAACCTAGGGTCCCTAGGAATAATCTAATCACTGTAAGACAGAAACTCCGTCACGGGTTGTGCTTCCCCAGCCCAATTTGAGAAAGCACTCGGCCCTCTTGTAGAGGAGAATCCAGGCTAAAATACTTTATTAATAAAGGAGGGAAAACATAGGTACAGCAAGGTTTTGAATCCTCGAATACCCACAGCTCTTCCCTAAGGTTACAATGGGAGACATAAAGTTTTATACCCCCTATGAAAGTTAGAAATAAATCATAATTATTGGTTCCATCAAACTTTGTCATATCTGTCACACTATTCTGATTGGGCTCCAACCTGTGGGTTGGATTTTCTCAGACAAAAATGTACCTCCTACAGCTAAACAATAGGCCTTCTTTTCAGGCTGTGAAGTTAACAAAAAGTATCTTAATGTAACAGATATGGGTACATAGTGGTGTGTTCTTCATCTAACATAGACTAAATGACATCAGGAATATGCACAGTTATAGTTGGCAAGAA